TTGAGTTTGTTCGTTCTGTCTGTGTCCCTGTGTCTCTCTGTGCCCCCAGCCCCCTCCCTGTCCTCGTGATTTTAGCGGATGTGTTATTTGATGGTAACTTGTGTCTCTGCTGTTTTTAACAACTCCCATCTCTCTCTCTCTCTCTGTCCCTCTGTGTCTCTCCCTCCCCCCCTCTCTCTCTCTCTCTCTCCCCCGCCTCCGTCTGTCGCCCTGCTGAAACGCTGCTGCCATCCTCCTTCGGGTGAAAGGTCGAGTGTCAAAGTGCAGAGTGTCAGGAACAGGTGGAGAGCATTCTGTCTGAGAACGATGCCCTGCGCACAGGTTTAGCAGCTCTAGAGCAGGTACCGCGCGGGTTCCAAGGACCGTCATGGCCTAACCCTCACCGAAACGGGCAGGGGGTGCTGGTGTTTGGGGGTGGAGGTGAGGTGGAGTCTGCTGTCTGAGGACACTTGGAATTGGGGTTGGGGGCGGGGTGCGGGGAGCGGTTTGCAGAGTGGATGAGGAAGTCTCGGTCGCGTTTTACTGGGCAGGGGAGCGGGACCAAAGGAGAGACCTTGCAGCCTCATCAGTAACTCAAGTCAAGAACCCAATAAGCTGAAGAAAGTCAGCAGCATCTGTTCGGTGGGGGGTGGTGGGGGAGGTGGTGTGGTTGGGTTGCGAGATGGGGGTACAGTTAAAGTATTGAGTTCCAGTGTGAGCCTTCTGCAGAGCTGATAGCATCTGGGGAAAGCTGGCGTCCATCTGGATGATGGGGTCGGGGTGGAGATCGTGTTGAGGGGGGTGGGGGGGTGGGGGGGGTTGGGGGGGGAGTGGGGATGTTAACATCTAGTCAGAGATGGAGCCCAGAGAGAGCGAGAGATGAGCAAAGGGATTGCTCATCTGGTTTATTCATAGAGTCCTACAGCGCGGAAACAGACCCTTTGGTCCAACCCGTTCATGCTGACCCAGATATCCTAAACTAATCTGGTCCCATTTGTCAGCATTTGGCCCGTATCCCTCTAAACCCTTCCTATCCATGTCCCCATCCAGATGCCTTTTAAACGTTGTAATTGTACCAGCCTCCACCACTTCCTCTGGCAACTCTTCCCATACACGCACCACCCTCTGCGCGAAAAAGTTACCCTTCAAGTCCCTTTTAAACTTTCCCCTCTTACCTTAAACCGATGCCCCTCTAGTTCTAGACTCCCCCAGCCTGGGGAAAAAGACCTCGCCTATTCACCCTATTCATGCTCCACATGATTTTATAAACTTCAGTGAGGTTGTGTATAGATCACCGAATCCCTACAGTGTGCAAACAGGCCCTTCGGCCCGACAAGTCTACGCCGACCCTCAGAGCTTGCCACCCAGATCCGTCCCTCTAATCTACGCATCCCTGGGCACCACGGGACAATTTAGCACGGCCAATCCACCCTAACCCGCACATCCCAGGGCACCACGGGACAATTTAGCACGGCCAATCCACCCTAACCTGCACACCTTTGGATTGTGGGAGGAACCCCACGCAGACACGGGGAGAATGTGCAAACATGGACAGACAGTCGCCCGAGGGTGGGATCAAACCTGGGTCCCTGGCGCCGCGAGGCAGTGATGCTAACCACTGAGCCACCATGCCGCCCCATGCCTTTTAATTTTGTTTGAAAATGAATGCTACAGCTGGTTGCCATGTTGCAGCATCAGCACGTGCGTGTGGAAGAATTGCTCTTGACTAGTGCCCCCAGTTTGTCCTTTGTGCCCCTTGAGACATTGCCATCCAATCCTGTGGCCCAGTGGTACTACCTCCAGCTTGACCTGCCCTGTTCTGTTGATCAGGAATTGCAGCGGCTGCTTTACTGCTCGCAATGTGGTCTCCTCTCCGCCAGGAGAGGCGGTGGGCAGAGCTGACCCCGGCCCTCTGGTTGCGTGCCACTTTGAGACGCGCTGCCCTGTGCCCCGGCCAACACCATGGGCATGCTGTGGTGCTCCAGCCAAGCTCAGCGCGAGCTGGAAGGAAGTTTCCCGCTTGGGGAGCCTGCAGGGCTCGATGTCGGATTTGGTAATTGGGGACACCTTCCGCGTCTTTTACCCACACGCCAGCCCCTGATACTTTCAGCATGACCAAAGCCTCCGTTTTCACCCTCTCATCACCCCCATTGCCACTGATCTGGCTTCTCCTCTTCCCTGGGGTGTCGCCTGATTTCATTTTGAGTTCATTTCTCGTTGCCCCACGTACCTAAATACGGTGAACAGTTTTGTTTTGCGTGCAGAGCAGGTCTGCCTGACACGGGGCTCAAAGCATTGCCTCAGTTTCTCTCGCCACGCGTGCTGCCAGACCTGCTCACTTTTGATTTTCTGCGTCTGCTTCACATCTCAGTTCGTCGCTTTTTACAGCAGCCTTGCGGGAAGGGGGAAGGGTGGGAGTTGGGTGGGCATTCTGCTGGCCTAAAAGACCCTCACGCATGCTGGCGGGTGTCCCATGAGCTGCCAGCTCCTAGCCCTGGCACTTCACCCTCACTCGACTGTATCTGCCCTGTGCCCCACCCAGTTGGTCTATCTGACCTCTCCTGCTTCCTTGTTTCACTGAACCACCGGGTTTCCTCTGCCAGGTGCAAACTGTGCCTCTGCCACCCGGCATCGGGGGGGGGTGCCTGAATGTGAACCCGGCGAATGCTGACCCCCGCACCCCCCCTCCCCCCCCCCCCCCCCAGCAGTCCCCAGCACAGCACCCTGACTGTCCCCAATCCACTGTCCCTGCCCCTCTCTCTCAACAGTCAGCGTCAGCAGAACCGTCACAATGTAGAGAAAGCTTTACTGTATATCTAACCCCCTGTTCCTGGGAGTGTTTGATGGGGGGAGCGTGGTACAGTGTAGAGGGAGCTTTACTGTGTATCTAAACCCCTGTTCCTGGGAGTGTTTGATGGGGGGGGGGGGGGGGGGGACAGTGTAGAGAGAGCTTTACTCTGTATCTAACCCCGTGCTGTCCGTGTCCTGGGAGTGTTTGATGGGGAGGACAGTGTAGAGGGAGTTTTACTCGGTATGCTAACGCCGGTCACTATGCTAACGTGGTACGTCCTGACTCTCTCCGATTAGATTCAGACGGCGAAGACACAGGAGATGAATGGGCTGCGGGACCAGGTGACGTCACTGACCCTGGACCTTCAGCAGCGTCAGTGTGAGCTGGAGGCCCTCATGGCTCAGCGGGACGACCTCAGCAGTCAGTTTCAGGTACCCTTCGTCATTGCGAACGCTCCCTTCCTGACCGACCGAGACCTGAGCGGGGAGACACTGAGCAGAAAGGGCAGGCTGTAGTGACAGGCAACAGCCACTAGATGGAGACGGAAGGTAGCAGCTGTGCCCCACCGGTACTGTACCCCAGTGTTATACAGGGACAGACCCGTCCCCCACCGGTACTGTACCCCAGTGTTATACAG